CGCGCGGCAGCCAGGATGGCCTCGTCCTCGGGCAACGATGACGACCTCACCATCCCCAGGGCTGCCATCAACAAGATGATCAAAGAAACGCTCCCCAACGTCCGCGTGGCGAACGATGCCCGGGAGCTGGTGGTGAACTGCTGCACTGAATTCATCCACCTCATCTCCTCCGAGGCCAACGAGATCTGCAACAAATCGGAGAAAAAAACCATCTCCCCGGAGCACGTCATACAAGGTGAGCTTCCGGAGGCGGTGTGCTGCTGCCGCGGGTCGCTCGGGCTTGGGGTCGTTCCTGTCCTCTACGCCTTTTTCCTCGCCGGTTTCTTGTAGCTATAGAAAAGACAAACGGTAGGGAGCTGTGAGGGTCTGGAGAAAAACTGTGTTGTCTCGCCTGTCAGTCGTATTGCAAGGGAAGGTTGTCTCTGTGTGGTTAGAGCGGCTGTTGAATAGGCTTAGGACCAGCCGTCATTGTGTGGTTCGGAGGAGTCTGTGATGCTTTGAGTGAAGTCACCGAATCCTTTTGTCTTTTTATACTTGTAAAACAAGGTCTGTTTTTCCGAATGGTTATGCAGATTTCTTTTACAACATGCTTTAAGATCCTGAACTTATTAAACGTCTTTCTGATTGGATACTGGTAAAAGGTGTGTGATTGGGTATGTGGGGCCCGGGCTTTAAACCAGAGTCGTCTTGTCTGAGTCCTTTAAAGAGTAAAATATTCCTGTAGGACTACCTTTGGAGTCCTATTGTTTGTAATTAAGTATTTGTATCTCTTGTGGAAAGAATTTAAATGTTACCTATGCCTTTGCATCCTTTTCTGCTTGACTTCCATGTCCCCTTGGTTGAAAAAAGGAGTGCTCTCATTTGCTTTTCTTTACGTTCTGCCACAAACAAGGAGTTTCTTTGCCTCATCCTTAATTCTGCAACAAGCATCTTTTATCAGGAATCACTCACTTTGCGGCTCAAGCAAAGGTTATTGATACCAGTGTCTGCTGCAAACAAGTTTGTAGGAGTGATAGTGAAAGAGTAATTTATTCTGCTGCCTGGTAGAGATTTTAACACTATCATTTGCAGTAGAGCTATTTCCAGGACTGTGATGGTATCAAGTTAGTTTTAAAAATGTTACCTTTTTTTTTTTTTGGTAGTGATTATCTGTTTAAAACAACAAAACAATCAGATTGCTTTGAGTTGTATCAGTTTGCTCACCAGAAGAGTTTCAAGTACTTGACTGGATTATGGACAGCAAAGGAAAGATACATACACACACAGTTTCAATTTGTTTTCCAAAAAACCCACACTAACCCTAGGGTAGCAATAGGTGAACTATTTTCTAAGTAATGCTGCTACTGGGCAAAAACTCCTTTCATGCATGAATTCTGTATTGTCCTCAACCTTAAAGATCGTGTCTACTCCTGTGTAGGGTAAAACGTGGGCTTGCATGTGGAAACGTGCTTTGGTTATGGTCTTCTAAATACATGGATGGTTTCTTCAAACAACCAAAATGTTTTAGGTCGGTTCTTAACACAGGAATATTGCTGAGGAAGACTTTGGAGATGTATCCATTTTTATAATGCTCTGGAGGTGGAAGGAGCTGTTCTTGGTTTTTCTGCTGTACATATTGTTAGGGAGGTATGTGTGCTATTAACTTCTTCCAGATGCTGGTCAGATGTTCCCTCCATGAGGCATGAGAGTTTAGATGGCTAATTTTGGAAGCAGTAGTGATGTGTAACTCAGCACAGAGTTGCAGTGTCTTCATCCCTCTTCATATGTTCTAGAGACTGGCTGTGTTGACTGACTCTTAATGTAGCTCCATGACAACAATGCTAACAAATTAAGTAATTCAAGAGTGTTTGTTGTGGCCATCCAGTTATCTTGTTCCTTTTAAATGCTTGAGCCGGTTAATATAGAAATAAAATGAAGCTAATGGCCATCACATTACGCCTGGTCCAGTCTAAACACAAGCTACTGCCAAGAGGAATCTTTTTATTCCCTAGAGCTGTATCTAGCAACTACTGATCCAAGCAACACTCTTGCTTTTTGAGAATCTAATGGGGAGCACAGTTTTCTGTCAGGTGAGTTTGCTGATCTAACTCTTACTGTAAACAAGAAGTTACTGGATTGGAAGCAAGGAGCAGGAGGGGTATTTCACTGGAGAAGAGGAAAGGGAAAGACACCCTGCCATTGGACTGTATCAGAGCTATTGTGAGACTGCCCTTCATCTCTGTACTTAGGTATTTGGCGGTACTTCTTTTGCTGCACTAGTAAAATAATTGTGTATCCATGTGTTGAGCTAGAACACTTTCCCCTACCACTGGGTTATGGTTCAGAGAGATGAAGTCCCTGCTGTGTTTCATTGTGGAAGCACAAACACTTGACTGGCCCAGTGCTCCTGCCAGCACAGGGAAAAGAGAGCAGAGGCTGCTTGCGTCCCGTGAGGGATCTGATTTGATGCTTAGACTGTGCTAGGCACTCACTGGTTGCAAGAAAACACAAAGCAGCTTCCCTGGAGACATAAGGGTTACTTAATAGTCTTAAGTGGAGGTAGTCTCCATGTCTGTTGTTGAATCCCACCATTAGGAATTTGGTTGTGATTCTGAGACTCTAGTAAGCAAATGAATATCGTTTCAGTGTGGAACAGAGAATAACGTCATTTGATAGTTATGCAAGTTTTGACAAGGCAGGCTTTTTGTGAGAAATTCTAGTGAGGCATTGGAGACAGGTTGCTCAGAGAAGTTGTGGGTGCCTGCTCCCTGGAAGTGTTCAAGGGCAGGTTGGATGGGGCTTGGAGCCATCTGGTCTAGTGGGAAGTGTTCCTGCCAGTGGCAGAGAGGGTGGAACTAGATGATTTTTAAGGTGCCTTTCAACCCAAACCATTCTATGGTTAAACTTCCATTGAATTCTGAAAATGGTGAGATGTTAAATCACTATTTTTCTGAAGTTGATTACTATGGTTACTTTTTCTACATAGAACTGTTGTGCAGTAAGGTAGGCTGTGGACTGATGGCAAATCTTGTAGCTTCTTTTTTTCGGCTGTTAGGATGCTGACAGTGTTTATGCTAGCATTTAATGTTAAAAAAACCCAAACTACTATTAATGTTTATGTTTATGCTCCCTTGAAAGGAACAAGAAGTTTAAAAATGCAGATATGTGTGATCTGATTGTATAAAAAAACAAATGTACAACTGATTATGCTTAACAGATTAATCACAGGTCTGTACCTTCATGCAGTCTTTAAAAGTGGGAGGAAACAGGAAAGCTTAGTTATTTTTTTGTGTTTGTAAAAATGAGCCAGACCTCAGGTGCTGTGTCTTGGGATTCAATTGTTTAAATTTGGTGTGATCATTCTAACCTCAGTAAAATACCAATTTTTCAGCAACTTGGGTAGACATGTAGATTTCAGACTCCAGAAACAGAAGAATTCTGAATGTTAGTGGAACAGTAGCTGTGCTAAAGCAATAACAACTTGTCCCATGTTTTAGCACCATGCTTGTATAAAGGGATTCATATTCCTTCCGTGCATGTGCTCTGTAAAGCCTTGATGTGTTTCAAGAGCATAGTAAATTTCTTGAGTAATTTCACCTTTAACAGAATTTTTATGTGCTAGACCTATGGTGCATATATGGTTCTTCATAACTTTATTATGGTAAAAAAATTCTATAGGTATGTGTTGGTTAGTTCTTTCTATTTATTTTCTTTCAAAGGTCTTTTAAAATTTCTGTTAAAACACATCTTGCTGTTGACTTCAAGTTGTGTGGTTGTTCATGCTCTGAAGCAGCAGGTTGCAAACCCTGATGATCACTGTGGAAGTTCTTTTGATGAACACCTCTGAATTTGCTATGATGATTTGTCTTAGTGATGTTAGACTTACAGAGTTCTTAAAATTTTATACTTTGCTTAAAAAAACCCACTTTGGGTAGTTTAAATATTGTTTACATTTTAAAATTGAATGAGTTGTTAAGTATTTATAACTGCTTAGCTAACCAGTTATGGATGTGGATTTGCAGCCTATCTGCTGCACTTGGATTAAGCAACTTTCTGAAGGTTTTGAGTAATTCTCATAGAAACTGTGAGCTAATTGAAAAAAATGTTACCAGTGTCTGTGTGTGGATTGAGGCTGAACTGTCATACTGTCTCTGAAGTTATTTGATTATCTTAACTTTGTCTTAACTTTATTTTTTCTTAAGAAATAGGTATGTAAATATGTTATCTGTTAAAAAAATTGCAGTCCTGTGTGACTACACAACTTTACTGTACTGCCCTATTGAAGCCCATGTGTTAACTGTCTCCTTGAGTACAGGTTGGAAGCTGAAAACTTAACAGCCTTTCAGTTGTTTAGGTGGTACAATGGCATGCTGCTGTAATTATGAGTAGGAAAAGGTTAGTTACAAAATTCATGTTAGAATATAGTCTGAGTTCATGTAACTGAGAGCTTGTTTATAACAAGTTGTTGATGTTTGCTGTTGTGCAGTTTCTTTGAAAGCTATTTCTTGAACAGCTTGTGACGTAACATTTATCTTCCTGTATTTAAATCTTAATCCAACTATCATTCTGTAAGGAAAATTTATTTTTATAAATACTGTAAATGAACTAGGTGTTTTATTAGAATAAAACCTGTTTCTAGTATAATTTTCGTTTATGTAATAAATCTAGTGTATTCTATAATAGGTTCCACTTTGAGGTGTGTATGTGTTGAGACATACTGTAGTAAATGGTGAACCAGGAAACAGTGTGCCTTTTTTCACAAGTTCTATTTTTATAATCCTTCCTCTTAGTTTTGCATTCTTTAAAAAAACTATTGTTGCAGGGTGTAGCTGGATTTCAGATTTCTTTAGGCAGATAAAAGTGCAAGATTTTTGTTTCTGAATACACTTCAACATAGAGATAAAGGGTTTCTATTAAGAAAGCAATAAAGAGCGCATGCATAGTTTTATAGAACTTTATATGTGTGAACTACACATTTTTTAGTTTCTTGGCTTTTGAAATGTGAATTTAGATGTTGAGACAAAGGCTAAGATTTATGTCTTGGCTAGTACTTTTTTTTTTTGTCTTGATGAAAGATCTGTGGTGATTTTACATGCATCATTTTTGCTGTGTTATAGATTGCTTATTTACTACTCAAGACTTGCAACAAAACTGAAAAGATACAATCCCTGAGATATTAAATGTTAATGATTCAGATGGAAAGGAGTGATTAGTTGTATAAATTTTGCTTGATTCTGATGTGCTAGAAGATGGGAGGAAGGTGTCTTTTGAAGAATAATGCCTGTCTCTTGTGAGATGTATCTGAAAGCCCTGAGTTCTGTGCATGTGTGGACTTCTTGAGTTGTACTTGACTAGCCTTATTTTTTTCTAGCCTGAAAACATGCACACTTAAATGACATAGGAGAAGACACAGGGAAAATTAGCTGTCAAATCTTTTGAATATGATTTTCATCACCAGATAGAAAAGTGATAAAACTTCTTACTTATTTCATTTAATCTTTTAAATAAGTAATTTTATGTCTATAATCAGAAGCTTTGTAAAAGACAAACACTTTATTTTCTTTCTTTCTTTCTAGCACTAGAAAGTTTGGGCTTTGGCTCCTATATCAGTGAAGTAAAAGAAGTCTTACAAGAATGCAAAACAGTAGCACTAAAGAGAAGAAAGGCCAGTTCACGCTTGGAGAACCTTGGCATTCCGGAAGAAGAGCTTCTAAGGCAACAACAGGAATTATTTGCAAAAGTAAGTGAAGCAATACTTGTGCTCTTGAGGTTGGAATAAACAATGCTGCAGATCTAATGCCACAAAAACATGTGCACACCTCACGAAGATCCCCTTCCTTGTGAATTGCTGTGGCATCTAAGATGCTATTGATCTTGGCCTGTTTGAACTGGGGAAGGTAAAGTCAGCAAATAAGATGATGCTACTTGTTACTTCTGTGATTTGACGTAGTGGATTTTGTATACAAACAAATTTTATACTATAGGTTTAAAAAGCTGCTACTTAGGTATTTCCATTAAAAATTATGTGGCTGAGGAAATAAAAGAATTACAGTGTTCTATGAAATTACCAGTTTTAACACATTAATAAGTGAAAGATATTTCCTGTTTCTGGTCAGCTGCACAGATGTTATTTTTTAGGCTTTGAAAGAAACATTTAATAATTCTAAATTTATAATTTGTCCTTTATCATCTTCCTTTACCCTTGGCAAGACTAATTGAGTTAATTAATTTGTAAATTTTTAAAGAAGCAATTCAGGCATAGAAAGAGTATTTGTCTGCAAATATGGTGCACGTGGATGCACACACACACATGCTCATCTTCATCCCAGCCTTCTGCCCTCCCCGCTTTTCCAGGTAGTGTGTGAACATCTCCCAAGATCAAATGACTAGAAGCCACTTTTATTTATCTTTCTACACCATCTTTCTTTCTACTGTTCTTAGTTTGATAAGAAAAGCGTTCTCTAAACTAGGTGAGATTACAATGATCTTGGATTTCTCTTTCCTCCTACCTAAGGCATGAGTTATTTTCTTGATTTGCTTACTTTAATTTCCTCTAGTAAAAAATGCTTACTCAGTTATGTGTTAATCATGTCTGATTACTGTGATCTTCTCTGCCCTTTCCTATACTTGCATCTTGCAAAAATAACATTTTTTATATTACAACATGCCAGCTTTTTAAAATCTTAATTATATGAAGAATTTTAGGGCATTTAAAATTTTGGTCTACCACATAGCTGTTGTCAGCATGCAGGGAACTAGTTATGATAAATTCATGTGTGTCAAACGTGTTTGTACTAACATAAGAAAGGCCAATGTGGCTGCTTCTGGATTAAGGGTGAGTTTTACAAATAATACTGAGTTTCATGTCTCTTTTACTTATGTTCAGATAGCTTAGCAGGGTATACAAAAGAAATGATAAAAGTGTGTTAAGGGAGTACTAGCTCCTGAGTAACATTAAAAAAATAATAATTAAAAAGTTGAACCATTGTTACCTTATGTAAGCTACACTTTATCTAAGGAATGACCTCTGGAAATATGTTCTATTTATATAAAAATATATATATAATTAGTGTTAATTAATATGTAAATTAAGGTAATGCATGCATGTTTGACAAGATTGTATTAATTATTTTGAAGAAGTCTTTGTTAACATGAAAATTTTTGCTTGGATTGGAAGATGACTGTTTAAAAATACTAGTTGTGATGCATTGTTGGAGGTACACACTGTAATTATTCTTAAAAATTGATATACAAGTGCATATTCATTTTCTTTGTGCTAATCTTGTTAATATTCTAGAGCATGACACTAAAGCTGATTTCTTGCTCTAGTTTTAAAGTACTTGACTGTTAATGCTATGAATCTTTGATGCCTAGACAGGCTAGAGAGCTGGGCAAAGGTGAACCTCATGAAGTTCAATAAGGACAAGCATAGAGTCCTGCATCTGGGGAGGAATAACAGGCACCAGTAGAGATTAGGGGTTGTCCTGCTGGAAGCAGCTCTGTGGAGAAAGACCTTGGATTCCTAATGGACAGTAAGTTATCCATGGGATAGCAGTGTGCCCTTGTGGTCAAGAAAGCCAGTGGTATCCTGAGGTGCATTAAGAAAAGTGTGTTGAGCAGGTCTAATGAGGTTCTCCTCCCCCTCTACGCTGCCCTGGTGAGACCACACCTGAAATACTGCATCCAGTTTTGGGCTTCCCAGTTCAAGAGTTAGGGATCTACTGCACAGAGTCCAGTGGAGAGCTGAGAGGATAATTAAAGGGACTTGAACAGCTCTCCTACGAAGAAAGGCTGAGAGAACTGGGGCTGTTTAGTCTTGAGAAGGCTGAGAGGGGATCTTATTAATGTCTATAAATATCTGAGGGGTGAGTGTCAAGAGGAAGGGGCCAGTCTCTTTTTGGTGGTGTCCAGTAATAGGACAAGGAGCAGTGGGTATAAGCTAGAACATAGGAAGTTCCACCTCAACGTGAGGAGAAACTTCTTTACTTGTGAATGTGACAGGCTGCCCAGAGAAGTTGTTGAGTCTCCTTCTCTGGAGACTTTCAAAACCTGCCTGGATGTGTTCATGTGTGACCTGCCCTAGGTGATCCTTCTTTGGCAGGGGGGTTGGACTGATGATCTCTAGGGGTACCTTCCAACCCCTAACATTCTATGATTCTGTAACTTGGATGATTGTAAATATTTGAAGTCACTAAAATGGCTTAGCCCAATATTCACAGAATCACAGAATTGCTGGAGTTGGGTAGGACCTCTAGAAATCATCTAGTCCAACTCCCCCACTGAAGTAGGATAACCTAGAACACTTTACACAGGAGTGCATCCGAGTGGGTTTTGAAGATCTCCAGAGATGAAGGGTCCACAACCTCCCTGGGCAGCCTATTCCATGTTCATGTAAGTCTAAAAGTTTCTGTGCAAGATGAGGGCCTTCACAGATTTGGATTTGGTTTTTTTTGAGGCTTCTTCACTGAGGTTCCTCTGTCTGATCTGAGTTAAGTTTACCAGATGTTTTATAAAGCTTCTTAGTCAATGGATTTTCCCCCCCATTTTTGAAATGGCTATGTGATCTCATTATACATCTGGCAGTGAGGATAGCTGCTGACAAAATGATCTGTCTAGTGTGAAATGCTGAGCCCCTATTCCCTTGTGTGTGCATGTGTATCACCTTATGGAGTGTACAGTAAATTTAATTGTAGGAGGGTCAGTAGGGAGCCTTATTGCTATCTTGTGTGTGATAAATATTTATGCCTCTTCTATGTGTACGAATACTGCTGTCTTCCTTTCTTAAAAACTGTACAGTGTTTTAAGTTGTTTTCCAAGCCTTGTAACTTCACTAAGACTTGAAGTTTGAAATACTTAAAAGTCTTAATTGAGAAAAAATGTCTACCTCTGTAAAAGTATTTTCTTTTAATGGTAGAATAGACTGGGGAAATGTGACACTTCTTACAAGAGAAGACTCTCATTTTTTACTTTGCTAGTAGATAAACTGGTTTTGATAGTTTTCCAAAGCATAATCTTATGGCATCTTGAACTTTGCAAAACTGTAAAATTTGTTGATGTTTTGGAAAAAAAATTGTAAACCTCAATGAGTGCAATGGGATTAGAAAGGAAACAATTGAGTTTTAGTGATGACTTGTAAATGTAGAAAAGTAAAGAATACTTAAGATTTTTAATTTTAAGAACTTTTACCTAATGTTTATACTCAAAATATAAGTAGAAGTTTTAACTTCAACAAAATTGACTAGTATCCTGTTGAAATCCACAGTAGTCACTGAGAAAAAATGAAAACTGGATAAAAAAATCAGAGGTCACAAGTTGTATTATTTGAAAAGCTTTGTGAGGACATCTTGTACCTTTCAGTAAAGGACTACCTTTTGGTAGCAAAGCCATCCTCAGTCTGCATACCTGAATTTGAGAAGATCTTCCATTGCTCTATTTTCCAAAAATTGCTTTGTAAAGTAAGATAATAGCTGGCTTTGTTTTTGTAGTAGTGTGTCTTTGTGGTACAGCTGGATGGTTACATAATTGCAAGTTTTAGTATTTATAATCAATAAATTAGGGCTGTTCTCATCTCTGAACTATGATGAAATGTTAAGATCCCTTGACATTAATGTCTAAAGTTTCCATTACTTTGGCTCAGTAAATTTTTTATGTGGTTTAGCAGAATCCTTACAATACAACTTATGTACACTAGCTCCTGCCTCTTGTTTTCGTAACTGTAAATCCTCCAAATGGTGGCCTCTTCCAAGGAAGACAGGCTATAGCTAAACATCTTGTACAAGTAATTAAGGTAGTTCCAGATGTGCTTTTATATGTACAATTAATAAAAATTATAGGAAAGGAATCTGCAGGTGCAGATAAAATTGCTTTTAAAGATAATGTGATCTAGAGAATCTTCTCAAGCTATGTGTGGCCTTAACAATTAAATTCATGTCTTTAGGCTAGACAAC